GTTTAACACACCCAGACTCTGTTTTATAAAGAAAACAGACTAGAAAAAGGTTTAGATACCAATCATAGATGGCAGAAACAGCATTAGAGTGGATGGAAAACTTTTTTGAAAATGTCGAAAAAATTTTTTTCTTCTTAGAGACCACTTATTTATAATTTCAATTGTAAATTGGGATATTTTTTAGTAAACTTCTATTTAAACTTCATTAAATAATACAATTTGGTACAAATAATTGAATGTTATGCTACTATTTAGAAAAATAAAATCTGAAATCCAATAAAATACAAGTTTTCTATCATTTGTTCAATTTACAAATGTAATTTTGCCCTCACAATAAGACAAAATGGTCCCGGTATGCAAAGGTCTAACCTAACTAGATTTTTGTCAGTCTAGATCAAATTTTAAAGATGACAAGTGGTACCATTTCTGTGCATTTTTTGTAAAGTTGTGGTGGGATGTAATTATAAACACTGAGGGAATTGTTTTTTTATGATTACATAGTTGTTGTTTTGTATGATTATAATAGTAGTTGTTTTGTATGATTATAATAGTAGTTGTTTTGTATGATTACAATAGTAGTTGTTTTGTATGATTACAATAGTAGTTGTTTTGTATGATTACAATAGTAGTTGTTTTGTATGATTACAATAGTTGTTGTTTTGTTTGATTACACAGTAGTTGTTTTTTGAATGATTACACAGTAGTTGTTTTTTGAATGATTATACAGTAGTTCTTTTTTGTATGATTACACAGTAGTTCTTTTTTGTATGATTACACAGTAGTTCTTTTTTGTATGATTACACAGTAGTTCTTTTTGTATGATTACACAGTAGTTCTTTTTTGTATGATTACATAGTAGTTGTTTTGTATGATTACAATAGTAGTTGTTTTGTATGATTACAGTAGTAGTTGTTTTGTATGATTACAGTAGTAGTTGTTTTGTATGATTACATAGTAGTTGTTTTGTATGATTACATAGTAGTTGTTTTGTATGATTACATAGTAGTTGTTTCTTGTATGATTACATAGTAGTTGTTTCTTGTATGATTACATAGTTGTGTTTTGTATGATTACATAGTTGTGTTTTGTATGATTACATAGCTGTTGTTTTTTGTATGATTACATAGTTGTTTTTTTATGATTACATAGCTGTTGTTTCATGATTACATAGTTGTTTCTATGATTACATGGTTGTTGTTTCGTATGATTACATAGTTGTGTTTTGTATGATTACATAGCTGTTGTTTTTTGTATGATTACATAGTTGTTTTTTTATGATTACATAGCTGTTGTTTCATGATTACATAGTTGTTTCTATGATTACATAGTTGTTGTTTCGTATGATTACATAGCTGCTTTTTATAATTACATAGCTGTTTATTATAATTACATAGCTGCTTTTTATAATTACATAGCTGTTTATTATAATTACATAGTAGTTGGTTTTTATAATTACATAGTTGATATTTTTTATGATTACAATAGTAGTTGTTTTGTATGATTACATAGTTGTTTTTTCATATGATTACATAGCTGTTGTTTTTTTATGATTACATAGTAGTTGTTTTATGATTACATAATTATTATGAATAAAATGAAGCAAATTAAGTTTACTTTCAATATTAGAACTAAGGGCATATTTTCATTCCATTTAACACAATTCGGCCAACATATCTTTTAACAAATACAAGGATGTAACTTCTGTTATCAAAACTTGAATTTCCTCACAAATTACAAATTTTAATAAGAAAGACTATAATATGCACAGTAGTTGTGTTTCTAGATATTTT